GAGGGGTAAAGGCTGTAAGAAACTATACTTACAATCTGTTTTAAGAACCCACTTCCCATTTGAAACAGCCATGAGAACTTTAAGGGTTCTAGTGCATGCACCATTTGCATCTGTAGCTGCAATGACATGTGTGACATCTGGACTCCAAAACTTTGTCACACTTGCACCAATCATGTTTGCAAACTCAACCAAAAGAAACTGCATTAGTAGCAAGATGAATGTCAGGGAAGAACTTTTGTCAGAAAGACCAATTTTACGAGTGGTAAAAACATCATCCATCTTATACACAAAGCATAATTCTCTGTGATGCTCACAACCTATCAACAAGAATATCTACTTACGAGGACAAGGTAAATATCAGATTATCCTGTTCTAGAATCCTATCAAACATGTCAAAGATTCAACCAAAATCAGATATTTTTTCAAGATACCATGAATTTCCCAAAAACATTGAAAAAGTTCAAATAGGTTTGGAATATGCAGAAAGAATGATACAACAAACTTCAACTTAAGCAAATCATAGGAAATAAACAATACAAAAAAAACAAAGATCAGCTTAGCTCATCTGACCTTTTCCTCAGAAGAAAGAGCTGATCCACAGAAAACCCATTCTTTTTTGTGATCTGGCTGCTTCCAGAAGAAGTTAGACTTTGATCCAGCTCTGCAATTGGAACAACAATAAAACCCCTTTTCAGACGGTTAAAAAAAATTCAGGTTATGCATCGTGACCAACTAGTGACTAGAGATGGAAACATAGTTGCACAATTTTGGTCCTTTGATCCCGAGATAAAATGAAAAACCACATAGCCACTTCTAACAAAAAAGAATCAAAGGCAATTGCTCATGAATTTAATACTTGCTAAAGGTGTGCTTAAGCAATTCAAGAAAAACAGATATCAACATTCAAACTATGGAAATCTATCATTAATATGGAAGAGAAGAGGCAGCAGAACAACAAGACTTTTAAGATATACAAAAGTTATCCAATGGGACTAACCAAACAATTAATCAAACATCATAACCAAAAAAACACTATTGAAAAGATATCCAGTAAAACAATTCAGTTGTCAATCAACAAAGCAGTACAAGAGATTAGAGATCAAGGTTATACATATGAGTTGTTGCTGCACAATCTTTTGAGGTGGAATTTCGAGACTTCTCACTTGGAAATTTGACTGAAGAATGAGATGGACAGAGCAGAAGAAAGTCATCCTGTAAAATAAAATTAAAAAAAAAAAAAAAAAAAGGGGGCACAGAAACAAAAACATTCATGGCCATACAACTCATGCCACAAAAAAATAGATAATGGAACAAGGGGCAGCAGACTTACAAAGTCCCAGCGGCACTTTGGGATCTCCTTTGCACAAGGAACGTGATAACTTCTCTTGCAGGATTTCACATAACACCCTAGTGCTGCTCCCTTCAGCCCACATTGGCTGCACTTGAGCTTTGAACCCCTAGCCAATTCTGCCTTCAAATTCTTGACAGACTCACCAGCATAGTACACTTGTGGTGCCCTGTGTTTCCAGGTGTTATTACATATTTCTCAAATCAAAAGGAAAATGAAAAGTCAAAAATGAAACTAATATAGAACACCATGATAACATTTTACTGGAATTTGATCCTACAGCAAAAACCCATAATATCCAACTCATTCAAATACAAGTAATCAGAAATGACAGATGAAATACCATTCAATGCATGAGCTGTGTACATGAATAACATTTGAACAGTTTGCCTCATCTCCTGTCACTGCAATTCCAGTTCCATTAACATAATGTAGCATTGGTCCCGTGGCCTGGAAAAGGTTTTAAGAACACAAGGAATCAACAAAACTCACAAAGACACACACACAGAGAAAAATCAGTTTATGATAATTTTACACATGTTTACCAGAAAACTGAACTTTTGAAGAAAAATAAGAATCAAGTGATGTGTCATTGAACTTTACCTCTGACACTCTTGAGGACTGGCAAAATCCACAGATGGCTGTATTTGCCTGCATCACTTCACTAGCAGGAAGCACCACAGATTTAGTTTCCAATTTGCAGTTAGAAGTCGCTAAAGTTTCAGTTTGCAGAATGGATTGCCCATGGTTAGGACTTTCCACAGCCATATCCAGTGGTCCATAGTTCAATTTCTTTTGTCTTTTTGGTTCCCCAAAGTCACCCCCAATTTCAGAGGCAGAACCATCATGAAACCCCTGTCTTGTCATATCAAAGATTCTCTTTGCTGGATGCATTTTTGGACTCTAAAAAGGCATGGAGATATATTCTGCAAGTCAGACATATGTAACTATAGTACCTATGTTCTTTATAACAGTACAGACCAAACATTATTCAACTCAGATGCAAAAAAGGCATCATTAAAATTTCCATGATCAACTGCTACTGTCAACCAAAGTAAGTTACCAGGCTACAGCCTATATCAGCTTTCTTTTGTGGATTGCCAATTTGGCACTTGGAACATCAAATAAATGATTAAATGGTGCATTATCAAAAGCAAGCTAAATACTTACAAGATCACTACTGTCATTGTCAGAGCCCTTAATATCACCAAATGAAGGAGGGCTTTCCATCGATGCTTGTTCAACCAGATTCACACATGCTTCCCCATTCTCAGACTCTTGAGAAGCTCGTACCTGGGAACTTTGCATTGGCAAACCAGGATTTGTGGCACCAGTATATTGATCTCGACTCCTAGACATCTCAAATTCTTTAGGTAGAAGATCCTTTTGCACGCTGCATTTATCTTTCATGACACTTTTACCAACCCCACTGTCAATAGAATCAGACAGACTGGCATGGAATGTAGCATCCAAAGTCCTAAAGATTGACACAATGTTCTCCATGAAAGGCACATGCCTAAGATCTGCCACCCAGAATCATTTCTTCATTAACTCCAATTGCAAAAGTAAATTTAAATACATAGCATAACATTTTCCATACCGATCTAAAGCAATAAATGAGGCAAAATATAGGAGAAAACAGAATTACTCCCAAACAAAGAAGAGAGGAGCCAATTAGCCAATCAGTCAAACAGCATAACGTTTTCCTAGAAATATTTCTCAGCTAAAATTAAACAGAACCCATCAACCCAATCTTCATTGTCAATCATTCAAATAATTTTCAAACTCATTGCATTCAAAAATAAAGGAAAACAAATTAATCAATACCATACCTTGATTGGCATATGGGACTTTACAGAGAGGGCATTCTGAGCCAAGTTTTGTTGATGAAACAATGCACGCACTGCAATATCAAAAGAAAAACACAAAACCCAGAAAGCTTAGATGAGAAAACAGTGGAATCCAAAGTTTAAAAAAAAAAAAATTAAGAGAGACAGATACGAACTTGCAAAACAAGTGATCACACGGAAGCAACAATGGTCGGCTAAATAAGTTCAAGCTGCAAAATCAAGAAGAAAAAACATCAAATGCATTCACAGACATA